TTGTGCCGGACTGACGACGCACACCCCTGGCTTGGTGCGTGGAGCAGGAACGGGCCGGACCGGACTGACGACACACACCCCTGGCTTGGTGCGTGGAGCAGGAATGGACCGGACCGGACTGACGATGCGCACCCTTGGCTTGGTGCGTGGAGCAGGAACGGGCCGGACCGGGCTGACGATGCGCACCCCTGGTTTGGTGCGTGGAGCAGCAACGGGCCTTACCGGGCTGACGACTCGCACCCCTGGCTTGGTGCGAGTGGCAGGAACAGGCCGGGCCGAGCTGACGACTCGCACCCCTGGCTTGGTGCGAGTGGCAGGAACAGGCCGGGCCGGGTTGGCGACGCGCACCGTAGGCTTGGTGCGAGTGGCAGGAACAGGCCGGGCCGGGCTGGCGACGCGCACCGTAGGCTTGGTGCATGGAGCAGGAACAGGCCGGGCCGGGCTGGCGACACGCACCGTAGGCTTGGTGCGAGGGGCAGGAACAGGCCGGGCCGGGCTGTGGAGACGGATAGGAGGCCTGGAGTGAAGAGCGGCCACAACCCGTCCTGGCTGAATGCCTACCTTCACACACTCTGTGTGAGGCATCCGCACAGGACGTACAGGGCTGTGTACCCGTACTGGCATAACAGCACGTGACACTGGCGCAGGATATCCGGGACTGAGGAGAGGCACTGGAGACCACGAGCGCTGAGCCGGCACACTCCGTCCTGGCTGCATGCCCACCTTCGCACGACACGTGCGGGGTGCTCGCACAGGACGTACCGGACTATGCCGGACCACTCGTGGCACAGTACGCAGCTCCGCATACCGCGGAACCTGCCCAGTCCCATGCTGCCATGCCTGAGTACGGGGAGTTGGCTCTGCTCTCCATCCAGGCTCCGCCAACCTGCCTTCTGGCCCCCCAAACCCGGTGGCCTCCTCTCCAAATCTCCCAAATCGCCCTGTGGCAGCCTCCTGCTGCCCAGTCGCCCATGCCGTGTGCCCCCCCCTAAAAAATGTTTGGGGTTGCCTCTCGTCCGACCGACGACGACACTGTTTACGCCGTTGCTCCTCTCTACGTCGCGCCTCTACCGTCTCCCTCCATGGACGGCGATCCATCCCGGCCTGGATTTCCTCCCAGGTCCAGGACCCCTGCCCGTCCAAGATCTGCTCCCACGTCCAGGCTGCCTGCTCCTGGACACGCTGCTTGGTCCTGGTATGGTGGGATCTTCAGTCACGATCGTCGGGAACAGAGGAGGACCAAGGCGCAGCGTGATGAACAAACATATTTATTTAATTAATGAATGCACGAACAAAACAACAAAACGAAAACGTGACGTCCTACGGTAAACACAACCCAAACGGAACAAGATCCCACAAACACGAATGGAAAACAGACTGTTTAAATATGGTTCCCAATCAGAGACAACCAGCCACAGCTGACACTCGTTGCCTCTGATTGAGAACCACACTGGCCAACATAGAAATAGAACACATAGACCTACAACACAGAACTAGAATACATATAATCTACACACCCTGGCTCAACATATAGAGTCCCCAGAGCCAGGGTGTGACAGAACTTAGTAATCACTTTTGCCTTATGGCAAGGTGTTCGTCACCAAACTGTTCTTGGATGGTTGGGAGAAGTTGCTCTTGGAGGATGTGTTGGTACCATTCTTTATTCATGGCTGTGTTCTTAGGCAAAATTGTGAGTGAGCCCACTCCCTTGGCTGAGAAGCGACCCCACACATGAATGGTCTCAGGATGCTTTACCGTTGGCATGACACAGGACTGATGCTAGCGCTCACCTTGTCTTCTCCGGACAAGCTTTTTTCCGGATTCCCCAAACAATCAGAAAGGGGATTCATCAGAGAAAATGACTTTACCCCAGTCCTCAGCAGTCCAATCCCTGTACCTTTTGCAGAATATCAGTCTGTCCCTGATGTTTTTTCTGGAGAGAAGTGGCTTCCTCGCTGCCCTTCTTAACACCAGGCCATCCTCCAAAAGTCTTCGCCTCACTGTGTGTGCAGATGCACTCACACCTGCCTGCCACCATTCCTGAGCAAGCTCTGCACTGGTGGTGCCCCGATCTCGCAGCTGAATCAACTTTAGGAGACGGTCCTGGCGCTTGCTGGACTTTCTTGGGCGCCCTGAAGCCTTCTTCACAACAATTGAATTGAGTTTTTTAAATTAATTTTTATTTAACCTTTATTTAACTAGGCAAGACAGTTAAGAACAAATTCTTATTTACAACGATGACCTACACTGGCCAAACGCGGACGACGCTGGGCCAATTGTGCACCGCCCTATCGGAGTCCAAATCACAGCCAGTTGTGATACAGCCTGGAATCTAACCAGGGGATCTGTAGTGATGCCTCAAGCACTGAGATGCAGTGCCTTAGACCGCTGCGCCACTCGGGAGCTCTTGAAGATCCGATAAATGGTTGATTTAGGTGTAATCTTACTAGCAGCAATATCCTTTCTTGTGAAGCCCTTTTTGTGCAAAGGAATGTTGACGGCACATGTTTCCTTGCAGGTAACCATGGTTAACAGAGGAAGAACAATGATTTCAAGCACCACCCTCCTTTTAAAGCTTCCATTCTGTTATTCTAACTCAATCAGCATGACAGAGTGATCTCCAGCCTTGTCCTCGTCAACACTCTCACCTGTGTTAACGAGAGAATCACTGATCCTTTTGTGGCAGGGCTGAAATGCAGTGGAAATGTTTTTTGGGGGGATTAAGTTCATTTTCAATTAATTCAATTAATTGCAATTCATCTGATCACGCTTCATAACATTCTGGAGTATATGCAAATTGCCATCATAAAAATTGAGGCAGCAGACTTTGTGAAAATTAATATTTATGTCATTCTCAAAACTTTTGACCACGACTGTCCATGAAATGAGTTTGAATAGGAAATATAGCAAAATTAATAGGAAATGTAGTCATTGACAAGGTTATAAATAATGATTTTTAATTGAAATAATAATTGTGTCCTTCAAACTTTGCTTTCGTCAAAGAATCCTCAATTTTCAGCAATTATAGCCTTGCAGACCTTTGGCATTCTAGTTGTCAATTTGTTGAGGTAATCTGAAGAGATTTCACCCCATGCTTCCTGAAGCACCTCCCACAAGTTGGATTGGCTTGATGGGCACTTCTTACGTACCATATGGTCAAGCTGCTCCCACAACAGCTCAATAGGGTAGAGATCCGGTGACTGTGCTGGCCACTCCATTACAGACAGAATACCAGCTGACTGCTTCTTCCCTAAATAGTTATTGCATAGTTTGGAGCTGTGCTTTGGGTCATTGTCCTGTTGTAGGAGGAAATTGGCTCCAATCAAGCGCCGTCCACAGGGTATGGCATGGCGTTGCAAAATGGAGTGATAGCCTTCCTTCTTCAAGATCCCTTTTACCCTGTACAAATCTCCCACTTTACCACCACCAATGCACCCCCAGACCATCACATTGCCACCACCATGCTTGACAGATGGCATCAAGCACTCCTCCAGCATCTTTTCATTTGGTCTGCGTCTCACAAATGTTCTTCTTTGTGATCCGAACTCCTCAAACTTCGATTAGTCTGTCCATAACACTTTTTTCCAATCTTCCTCTGTCCAGTGTCTGTGTTCTTTTGCCCATCTTAATATTTTATTTTGATTGGCCAGTCTGAGATATGGCTTTTTCTTTGCAACTCTGCCTAGAAGGCTTTTTTACATCACTAAGTTTGGCGTAGAAATCAGCCTTACAACACAGGCAGTATGCCCGTGTATCATCTCCAATAAACGTCTTCAACCAGCCTTTGAATTCAGGGTTTGATTCCCACTCCTTTCTGTATTTTTGAGGTGTACAGTTTAGACTGAGACATGATGAGCTAGCCAGCTAGATGTTTAGCTTATGTCACAGAGAGGCACACACACAGTGGACGAGGTGAGTAAGTGACTGAGGCTGTGTGAGTCAAATGCAGTGATTTATTTTAGACAAAGAACATTTTACATTTACATCCTGCCCTGAATGTAAGCCAGGGCGGGATCAGCCAGCGGCAGCTTCCCTCATGCGCGATTCATTTGCAGTCTGGACGCGGAGGGGTGAACATCTCCTGCTCTGACTGCAGCTGGGAGGGACTGCTGCGCGAGGACTGGGCCGCATGTGAGTGCTTTGGGACGGGGCCCACAGCAGCACCTGCTGCTCGTTGAGAAGAGTAAGAACGATACGTGCTTTCACGTCAGAGTCTCCAAAAGTCTCCATTAACACCAGAAAAAGTCGCTAGATTTGTCGCTAGTCGATTTTTTGAAAATGTGTCGCTAGAGGGGTCTGAAAACTCACTAAATATAGCGACAAAGTCGCTAATTTGGCAACACTGAACAAGCATAACCTACTCAGGTGAGCTCATTTATAGACTTGGTCCAGCCTCTGACCAGGTGGTCGTTATGGGACGGTCATGTGATCTTGATAGAGGTGTTTGGCGACCAATGAGTAGCGGGATTGTCCAATGTGGGGAGGAAATGGGGATTTTGAATTTGAACAGGGGGGTTGATTTTACGATCTCAAATTCTCAGTTCTCATGATTGGTCTCCAGTCCATGGTCTCCAAAGTGCCTCCGTCTGTAATCTCGGTTAACCCAGAAGTAAAATATCGAGTAATTTGGTCAGCTACACGCAGAATCTGCCCGCGGGAGATGACTCCGTCAGTGATTCTTATATTGATGGCTCTATATTTCCATCCTTATAGTAGTGAAATGAGTTCCGCAGTAAAAATGCAATTATACTGCCTGGTGAGTGGTGATTGTGCCACCTGCTCTATCAGTTGTCCAGATGGGGGCGCACGGGGTCTGAGTAAAGCGCATTGTGCGCACAGACAGACGCGAGGAGGAGAGGACTTTATTTAGGGGTTGCATCACAACTTGCTGTAGTCGATTCTGAACTTTCGGAACTGATCGTGCTTGAGGACCCTGTCGCAGCTTTTCTTTTCTCCTCAATTTCAACACGCGTGTATCCACGTCAACTTAATATGAAAACATGTCTATAAATGAAGTGTACGTTTTCCGACCGTTCAAGTTGATTGCTTTACTTTGTGTATTTCTGGCATTGTGTCTGGACATCGTAGCGTTATTGAGCCCCGCCTGGGTAACGGCAGAGCGTTTTTCTTTGTCGCTATGGGAATCATGCACTGAAACAGAGGCTGGCTGGAGATGCCTTTCCACCCTCACGTCTGGTAAGAAGCGATGAACGTTTTTCCCCCCAAAATGATTCTGTATGTTGATGTAAATCACTCCTTTCAAGTGGTTTTCTGTCCAGATGAAAAGGAGTCCCCAAAATGAGTTACAATCCTTTCGACTCCCAAAATAATCGGGAAGTAGGCCTTTGTTGGCAGAGCATGAAATGGGACTATCGGAACCCAAACATTGTGATATTGGCCTTTTTAAAATGATTTATTTCCAGGCTATTATTTCCCATCATCTGTTGTAACACACTTTATAGAACCTGACAATAAAGCCTGCCTACATGCTGTGGCATGGAAACTGGGGGTCATCTGATGCAGTTTATTTATTTAACCTTTATTTGACCAGGAAAAGCCAATTGAGACCCAGAGTCTCTTTTTCAGTTGTTTCTCTTCATCAAAGTTCTAGCATAGGCTATACAATGTTTAGGCTACACACATTAACAGACTGGCCCAGATGGATAGAAGAACAATGCGTAAATCAATCGGATTATAGTGAGAGAAATGTCTAGAATTTACGGTGAATTTCTATGTACATCACGGATGAAGAGATCAAACAATGGACCATTGTTAATGTACTGTAATCGCTCTCGGTCCGGATGCGTATCTACTGCAACATTTGCGTTCCAGGCCAGGGGCAATATTTTGCTCCCTGCTCTGTCAGTCAGAGCGCGACAATATAGCGGAGATTCGCCACTTCTGTGAGTGATTCTCGTCATACAAGATGCTGTTTAGGCCTATCTGAGACGGTTATCTTTTCGTTTCGTCACGGTTTGTTGATCTGTTGCAATGTGAAGTTTTCTTTCTCACCGTAGAGTTGTCCCAATGACGTGATGTGCCATCTGGGTGCTCCACCGGCCTTTGTAAGCTTTGTGAATGCAGGTGGGTGTGTTCCACCTATTGTTGCGTTCCTCTGGTGGAGGGCACTCTGCGTTTTGTTGTCTCTTTTTGTGAATGTCTCTCTCCCCCTCTCTCTCTCTTTGAATGGGGGATGGGGATGGATTGGCCTTGGTTATGGTCTGAAAGCATTATCATAGATATATTTCACAGTTTATGAGACAGAGTTCTCACACATTCCTATAGGGTTCAAGACATAAGCCACATATTTAAGGGATACTTTTTTTTCTTCCTTTGGCCTTAAAAATACTTTAAATGGAATGTATTCAATCTATTTATGGCAACAACGTGTTATCATATTGCACTACTGAAACCTATTGTTGGTCTCTTTGAACATCCCATGCTCCTTCCTAACAAGAGTTTCTTCCTTCTCCCCAGCTGCTTCTCATTATCTCAGTAGCTGTTTTGGCTGAGCCTCCCAGCAGAGTAGAATGTGCTGTTTGTTTTACCTGCAGGGAGAGCGTTATGGCTCTAGCACAGAGCAGAGAGGCTGGCAGGCAGTGGAGACTGAGACAGACACCAGTTGGGTGCTGTGCTCAGGAGGGGCAGATTAACCCTGGCTGTCTCCTCTGATAGGATCCTTTCTCTCAGATCTGTGCCCTCCCCCGTGGTGCCCAGCCAGCGGCACCCACCCTCTCCCAACCCAGCTTGATGATCCGTCTCTGTCAGAAAAACACCTGTCATTCTCCTGCCCCCTGCTAGAGCCCCCTGCTATCTCCACCTCAGAGGTTTCTGGACAGACAGTGTCGTCAATGGAATGGTCTCTGTATTGTTCCCCTGGTCCACCCTGGTGTTGTGGTTAATTCTAAATCCAGCTCCTCTGAATAGGGGTGAAATGAGGAACCGTCATCATCCATCTCCAGTGGGTCTGCGGAGGCCACTCATCTCACACAGCCTGATGAGGAGGAGCAGAGGGGGCATTTTATGAGCTGCCGTGATGGATCTCCTCCCCTCTGTTGTTGTGGTGGAATGTGGAGAGTGATGGGGGGGGGCTGAATGTGAGGTGGGCCCTGAGAGATGAGCCTGTCCCTGGGCAGTGAGAGAGAACGCCTGCCTGCCTGCCTGGCGGAGCTCATTAGGACCAGGGCATCAGGGTTGTGTGGTTAACATTACAGGAGACAAAGGAGTCAATGGCCTGGGGGGCAGAGAGAGACACGACAGAGGGCAGACGGAGCTCATTAGCTGCCTCCAGTGGAGCTTCTCTCTGTCCTCTGAGGCGAGCCAGCCAACCGAGACGCAACAGACCTGAGGAGAACTGAACAATCAGCTGGATTTTGGAGCACTGTACCTCAGCTCTTTCTGCACAGCCAGAACCTGGACAGAGATGAGGCAGAGGCAGATGAGATGGAGGATATGGGAGAACGTTTTTGGCACATAGTCAAGTGAGCATGTTTGAAGTACCTCTATGGGTTAAGCTCCCTGTTCACTGTCTGCTAACGCTGAAGACAGAGAGAGAGAGCTGTGTGTGTTGGTGAATTTTAATCTCTTTCTCGACCACGAACACACACACGTGTTTTGCATTGTAGCGAGCAGTAGGCTATTTGTTTCCTGCTTGACTGTCATCACTGGTCTGAGTGACTAGAGTAGAGTACCCTGTGAATCGATGGCGATGGTGGTCTGTAACGTGTGTCTGTAACATGTCTCCTCCTCCTGCAGACTGGCAGATAGCCACCCTGGTGCTGCTGCTGGCCGGTGCTGCGGTGACTCTGGTGACCTTCCTGGTGGCCCTCATCTCCCTGTGCCGGGGGACACACAGACGGCACTACCGCATGGTGGCCGTGTTCCTGTTCACTGCAGGTGAGTCCACCATGCTCCAACATAAACACCATACATGGACCTACTCCACAACACTCTACAATACTCCACAACACTCTACAATACTCCACAATACTCCACAACATGATCACTTACATCTCTAGTGATTCCCCTATATTCATTTAGGAGCAAGGGCCCACTGCTGCTAAATTCTTGCCACCATTAAAAAAAATATTTTGCATCTTCAAAGTGGTAGGCATGTTGTGTAAATCAAATGATACAAACCCCCCAAAAATCAATTTTAATTCCAGGTTGTAAGGCTACAAAATAGGAAAAATGCCAAGGGGGGTGAATACTTTTGCAAACCACTGTATATACTGAGATCATGTGACACTTAGATTGCACACAGGTGGACTTTATTTAACTAATTATGTGACTTCTGAAGGTAATTGGTTGCACCAGATCTTATTTAGGGGCTTCATAGCAAAGGGGACGCACCACTTTTCCATTATTTATTTTTTAGCATTTTTTTAAACAAGTTATTTTTTTCATTTCACTTCACCAATTTGGACTATTTTGTGTATGTCCATTACATGAAATCCAAATAAAAATCCATTTAAATTACAGGCTGTAATGCAACAAAATAGGAGAAACACCAAGGGGGACGAATACTTTTGCAAGGCACTATATATATATATATATATATATATATATATATATATAAAAAGAATGACACATTTTTTTAGTGGTGGCAAGAATTTAGCAGCGGTGGGCCCTTGCTCCTAAATGAATATATGCGAAACACTAGAGACGTAAGTGTACAGTGGGGAAAAAAAGTATTTAGTCAGCCACCAATTGTGCAAGTTCTCCCACTTAAAAAGATGAGAGAGGCCTGTAATTTTCATCATAGGTACATGTCAACTATGACAGACAAAATGAGAAAAAAAATCCAGAAAATCACATTGTAGGATTTTTTATGAATTTATTTGCAAATTATGGTGGAAAATAAGTATTTGGTCAATAACAAAAGTTTCTCAATACTTTGTTATATACCCTTTGTTGGCAATGACACAGGTCAAACATTTTCTGTAAGTCTTCACAAGGTTTTCACACACTGTTGCTGTTATTTTGGCCCATTCCTCCATGCAGATCTCCTCTAGAGCAGTGATGTTTTGGGGCTGTCGCTGGGCAACATGGACTTTCAACTCCCTCCAAAGATTTTCTATGGGGTTGAGATCTGGAGACTGGCTAGGCCACTCCAGGACCTTGAAATGCTTCTTACGAAGCCACTCCTTTGTTGCCCGGGCGGTGTGTTTGGGATCATTGTCATGCTGAAAGACCCAGCCACGTTTCATCTTCAATGCCCTTGCTGATGGAAGGAGGTTTTCACTCAAAATCTCACGATACATGGCCCCATTCATTCTTTCCTTTACATGGATCAGTCGTCCTGGTCCCTTTGCAGAAAAACAGCCCCAAAGCATGATGTTTCCACCCCCATGCTTCACAGTAGGTATGGTGTTCTTTGGATGCAACTCAGCATTCTTTGTCCTCCAAACACGACGAGTTGAGTTTTTACCAAAAAGTTATATTTTGGTTTCATCTGACCATATGACATTCTCCCAATCCTCTTCTGGATCATCCAAATGCACTCTAGCAAACTTCAGACAGGCCTGGACATGTACTGGCTTAAGCAGGGGGACACGTCTGGCACTGCAGGATTTGAGTCCCTGGCGGCGTAGTGTGTTACTGATGGTAGGCTTTGTTACTTTGGTCCCAGCTCTCTGCAGGTCATTCACTAGGTCCCCCTGTGTGGTTCTGGGATTTTTGCTCACCGTTCTTGTGATCATTTTGACCCCACGGGGTGAGATCTTGCGTGGAGCCCCAGATCGAGGGAGATTATCAGTGGTCTTGTATGTCTTCCATTTCCTAATAACTGCACCCACAGTTGATTTCTTCAAACCAAGCTGCTTACCTATTGCAGATTCAGTCTTCCCAGCCTGGTGCAGGTCTACAATTTTGTTTCTGGTGTCCTTTGACAGCTCTTTGGTCTTGGCCATAGTGGAGTTTGGAGTGTGACTGTTTGAGGTTGTGGACAGGTGTCTTTTATACTGATAACAAGTTCAAACAGGTGCCATTAATACAGGTAACGAGTGGAGGACAGAGGAGCCTCTTAAAGAAGAAGTTACAGGTCTGTGAGAGCCAGAAATCCTGCTTGTTTGTAGGTGACCAAATACTTATTTTCCACCATAATTTGCAAATAAATTCATAAAAAATCCTACAATGTGATTTTCTGGAGAAAAAAATTCTGTCATAGTTGACGTGTACCTATGATGAAAATTACAGGCCTCTCTCATATTTTTAAGTGGGAGAACTTGCACAATTGGTGGCTGACTAAATACTTTTTTCCCCCACTGTATATACAGTGTGTATTCAGAAAGTATTCACACCCCTTGACTTTTTCCACATTTTGTTGTGTTACAGCCTGAATTTAAAATAGATTAAATTGAGATTTTGTGTCACTTACCTACACACAATACCCCATAATGTCAAAGTGGAATTATGTTTTTAGAAATGTTTACAAATTAATTCAAAATGAAAGCTGAAATGTCTTGAGTCAATAAGTATTCAACCCCTTTGATATGCCAAGCCTAAATAAATTCAGGAGTAAACATTTGTTTAACAAGTCACATAATATGTTGCATGGACTCACTCTGTGTGCAATAATAGTGTTTAACATGATTTTTGAATGACTACCTCATCTCTGTACCCCACACATACAATTATCTGTAAGGACCCTTAGTCGAGCAGTGAATTTAGTGGCACATGCGCGTACTGATAGGAAGCATGGGTAGGGCTGTTGTGGTGAGTCATGGCTGCTGTAAAATTCCACATGACCGTTGAGTCATGGTAATCTCCTCTTATGCACTCTGGATATGCTTTGTTACCCAACTGGCTAACGACCAACAGGTCCTAATGGCTCTATTGTCCCTCTAACCACTCCGACATCAATGCAAATGAAATAGAAAATCACATCAAACACTTATCAAAACAGTATACTGCTTTTAAAACTCACCTCACTGTGATGATCAATTTGAAGAAAGAAGTTCAACAGCAGGTTGAAACTGAGTGTAAAACATGGTCATTGTGGATGTTGTTTCAAAGCCTAACACAACAAAATGGACAGTGTTTTCTAAGTTGATGATTAATTCAAAACACCCATACACATATTAGAGCTTGTGCATACGCATAGAACTATATATGAGCCCAAGCCTGAAAAAAACAAAAAAAACAATCTAAATTATGATTGTGCCTTATACAATACATAGCCTACCGCATATTACGCATGGCAGAAAAACATAAAACAATACTGATTTAAAATGTCTTTGGTACATAATTGGTCTAGCCTATACTCCAACATTTCACAAATTCAATTAATTGCCTTTGAGTGTGGACTGTATTATTATGCATACTGGATAGACTGGTTACCTTATGCTATGCTCCAAAATGTCTATCCATGAGTCTGGGAGAGAACAGATAGTCCTAGGCAATGTTCCCTCAAATTTTTTTAGGCACTGAGCAAATATTAGGTCTGCTGAGCACGAACTTGACCGTTGTGAAAATTCTGTGCAACTTATGGTGCACGTTTACGGTGAACACTGAGGCTGTATCCGCTATAAGTTACAGTTTTAAGTGGCCAAGTAGGCTACTGTGGCTATTTGATCATAATCTAGACCTACCAGAGTGGCTTACCATCAAAAACAATGGAGACAAATGCATCCCATAACATTTAAACATGGAAATAGCTGTTCTATCATTCAGCCTACAGTAGCAGCCAATGTATGGTGTTCAATGTAGACCTACATTCCATGAGACTTTTGAAAAAAAAATATGCAGGGCTTAACATTAACCTGTTTATCCACTAGTCCTTCAGACAAGGAGGTGACTAAAAATGTTGTGTTTGTTGCAAAAAAACAGTTTACAAAATAAAATGCATTATTATTCCCATACCGTTATTACAGAGAATCTGACAAATTAGGCTACCCTCTGCCTATTGGCTACTTAGCTTATTCAAGACCGTCTCAAAATACAACACTGCCCCTTTAAGACATATAAAAAAAAGATCTTTACCTGACTCGCTTTTCAAAGATAAATGCACACATTTTGTGCTCTTGTACGAAGCAACCAATGTTGACTAGATATTCGGCAGGTCGGAGTTTGGGAAACCCTGGTGTAGAGTATGGGCCTACTCCAATGCGCTCTGCCTACAACAAAATCTCTTGCACAGTTAGTTTTACATACTAATAAGTCTTGCATAGTTCGTTTTGTTTCGGTATGTTACATTGAAAGTGGCTAATATTGTGTTGATTTGATCACAATTCCCACAGTAGAGCGAAATGTTGATAGTGTTAACTAAAAGGGAAAACTCTAGAAAGTTGCTTCTATGCGCAGGCTGATATTTCTTCTGCGTGGCAGTCCGAGGGGAGCTGCGCGCCTGTGCGCCGCTTAGAGGGAACTCTGGCCCTAGGCGAAACTGTTGGTTCCTTGATTGTGCAGGGTGGCTTACAGGTAGCCTACAATTACAGTGAATTTGTATTTGATTTTGAATAGCCTAGTAATAGGGCATTTTTTATATTTTCATAATTATTGGGTGGCACATTACCTTTATCTATATAGAATATCTCACCACCATGCGTTTCCATCTCCTCTTTCTCCTTCATTTCTTTCTCCAGCTGTCAACTGTTTAATGACATATGTTTCATTGTGAAAACATGTTACTACACGTTGCTGAACAGATTTCACTTGGTTTCCCAAATTAAGCACTGGGTAGCTGCAGGAACAGGGTTGGAGAGCCCATGGCATACAGAGTTTGGGCGGAATATCACCTGTCCTGCAGCTCTGCTATAAAACCAAAGTAGCCTACCAGGCATCATTGAGAACGGACTGGCGGGAAAGCGCACGGCCTCCATTCACTATTCGAGTGCACAGAGATTACATGTATTTTTGCCCCTGTTCCTGCCCATTTGATAATAGGCCATTCTAAATCTAAACTAATTTTACATATTAGTAAAGACTTTATTAAATTGAGAATAGTCTGATGGGTGAAAATATGATCACTTGATGAGAGAAGAGCTTTGCAGCCTGTAGCAAGGAACGGAGCACAAGCTTTTTTTGCGACTTTCTCAAAACATCAATAGCCTTTAGTTGCATCATGCAGCCCATATATGTTTTGATTTGTAAGACATTCTAAGGTTTGTATCATTCACAACTAAAGTTGCCAAACAACTCCAAAATCTAGCGAATCAGACCTGTTTCAAATGATCACTTTTACGCTCAACATAGCCACTTCATATGCGCACTCGCTCCGGAATGGGAAAAATATCCTTTCAATTATATTCTTCTTACTATAAAATCATATAATATAAAAAAATGGCATGGGACTTATAAACATATCTTGTCAGCTAAATGAACAAGCCTACAGCTTATGGCATGGATCATAGCCAGATCTATGACAAGGCGCATTGAAGCTGTTCTCGTGGCTCACGGTGGTCCAATGCCCTATTAAGACACTTCATGTTGGTGTTTCCTTTTATTTAGGCAGTTACCTGTATTTTCCCTTCACACCACAGTTTGTCTCCATAGAGACAGAATTACCATTTGAGAAAATGGTTAAGTTGTTTGCACAAAGCTACATAGATACTGACTGAGACTGAATGTGAGGGTAAGAGGTAGTGATGTGTTAAAAGTACCAATCTGTCTGTTTAATCGGTTAACACACAGCTCAGACTCTCATATGTACCCCACAAAACATGCCACCAGAGGTCTCTTAAAAGTCCCCAAGTCCAGAGCAGAGGCTAGGAAATGCACAGTACTATATAGAGCCAGAATGGAACTCTCTTCCACCTCAGGTAACTCAAGCTAGCAGTAAAATCTGATAAAAAAAAAAAAAACATAAAACAACACCTCACGGCACAACGGGGACTCACACACACACACTCTAAAACATGCATACTACAACCACCCACACACTATTCTTAGTAATGTAATGTAGTATTGTAATACTGTAATGGAGAAATGTAAATTTGTTTTGTTTGATGTAATGTTTTATCTCTGTTCGGACCCCAGGAAGAGTAGCTGCTGCCTTGGGATCCTAATAAAATACAAAATACTAAAGGGTGGGGAGGGGGTGAGAAGGGAGTTTTTATTTGTATTTATTAAGGATCCCCATTAGCTGCTGCCAAGGCAGCAGCTACTCTTCCTGGGGTCCTGCAACATTAAGGCAGTTATATACAATTTAAAATATTACATGACATTATATTTCATAACACTTTACCCAATACATCTAGTGTGTTCCCTCAGGCCACTACTCCACTATCACATATTTACAATACAACATCCATGTGTACGTGTGTGTAGCGTGAGTGTCTGTGTATGTGCCTGTGTGTGTGTGTCTTCACAGTCCCCGCTGTTCCACAAGGTGTATTTTTACCTGTTTTATGAATCTGATTCTACTGCTTGCATCAGTTACCTGATGTGGAATAGAGTTCCATGTAGCACTGTGCGCCTCCCATAGTTCGTTCTGGACTTGGGGACTGTGAAGAGACCTCTGGTGGCATGTCTTGTGGGGTATGCAGGTGTGTCCGAGCTGTGTGCCAGTATTCCAAACAGACAGCTCGGTACATTCAGCTCGTCAACACCTCTCACAAAAACAAGCAGTGATGAAGTCAATCTCTCTTCCACTCTGAGCCAGGAGAGACTGACATGCATGTCATCAATGTTAGCTCTCCGTGTACTTTTAAGGGCCAGCCGTGCAGCCCTGTTCTGAGCCAACTGCAATTTTCCCAAGTCCCTCTTTGTGGCACCTGACCACACTACTGAACAGTAGTCTAGGTGTGACAAAACTAGGGCCTGTAGGACCTGCCATGTTGATAGTGTTGTTAAGAAGGCAGAGCAGCGCTTAATTATGGACATACTTCTCCCCATCTTAGCTACTGTTGTATCAATATGCTTTGACCATGACAGTCTACAATCCAGGGTTACTCCAAGCAGTTTAGTCACCTCAACTTGCTCAATTTCCACATTATTCATTACGAGATGTAGTTGAGGTTTAGGGTTTAGTGAATGATTTGACCCACATACAATGCTTTTAGTTTTGGAAATATTCAGGACTAACTTATTCCTTGCCACCCATTCTGAAACTAACTGCAACTCTTTGTTAAGTGTTGCAGTTATTTCAGTTACATTTTACATTAACATTTTAGTCATTTAGCAGACGCTCTTATCCAGAGCGACTTACAGTTAGCGCATACATTATTTTATCGAACCCACAACCCTGTCGTTGTAGTAGCTGACGTGTATAGTGTTGAGTCATCCGCATACATAGACACACTGGCTTTACTCAAAGCCAGTGGTATGTCGTTAGTAAAGATGGACAAAAGCAAGGGGCCTAGACAGCTGCCTTGGGGAATTCCTGATTCTACCTGGATTATGTTTGAGAGGCTTCCATTAAAGAACACCTTCTCTGTTCTGTTAGACAAGTAACTCTTTATCCACATTATAGCAGGGGGTGTAAAGCCATAACACATACGTTTTTCCAGCAGCAGACTATGATCAATAATGTCAAAAGCCGCACTAAAGTCTTAAAAAACAGCCCCCACAATCTTTTTATCATCAATTTCTCTCAGCCAATCATCAGTCATTTTGTGTAAGTGCTGTGCTTGTTGAATGCCCTTCTCTATAAGCATGCTGAAAGTTTGTTGTCAATTTGTTTACAGTAAAATAGCATTGTATCTGGTCAAACACAATTATTTCCAATAGTTTACTAAGGGTTGGTAACAGGCTAATTGGTCGGCTGTTTGAGCCAGTAAAGGGGGCTTTACTATTCTTAGGTAGCGGAATGACTTTTGCTTCCCTCCAATCCTGGGGGCACACACATTCTAGTAGGCTTAAATAGAAAATATGGCAAATAGGAGTGGCAATATCGTCCGCTATTATCCTCAGCAATTTTCCATCCAAGTTGTCAATTTTCCATCCAAGTTGGCTTGTCACTGTTAATAAACAACAATAATTTGTTCACCTCTTCCACACTCACTTTACGGAATTCAAATTACAATGCTAGTCTTTCATAATTTGGTCAGATATACTTGGATGTGTAGTGTCAGCAATTGTTGCTGGCATGTCATGCCTAAGTTTGCTAATCTTGCCAATGAAAAAAAAAAAGTATTAAAGTAGTTGGCAATATCAGTTGGTTTTGTGATGAATGAGCCATCTGATTCAATGAATGATGGAGCTGAGTTTGCCTTTTTTCCCTAAATTTCATTTAAGGTGCTCCAAAGCTTTTTACTATCATTCTTTATGTCATTTATCCTTGTTTCATAGTGTTTTTTCTTCTTTTTATTCAGTTTAGTCACATGATTTCTCAATTTGCAATACGTTTGCCAATCGGTTGTGCAGCCAGACTTATTTGCCATGCCTTTTGCCTCACCCTCTCAACCATACACATTTTCAATTCCTCATCAATCCACGGGGATTTAACAGTTTTTACAGTCATTTTCTTAATGGGTGCATGCTTATTAGTAACTGGAATAAGCAATTTCATAAATTCTATTCCTTACTAGATTTGTGTGTATTGGGTATATGTTGTGAAATTGTTAGATATTACTTGTTAGATATTACTGCACTGTCGGCACTAGAAGCACAAGCATTTCGCTACACCCGCAATAACATCTGCTAAACACGTGTATGTGACAAATACAATTTGAATTGAAGTGTCTGTTTGCTCCTCATTATACACCACGGACCAACATATATTATTTACATCAACAACATAGGAATCCCTACAAAACGTATTGTATGACCCCTCTTCAAAGGGGGTGACACTCTAGATCCAAACTGTTACAGACCCATATCCATCCTGCCCTGCCTTTCAAAAGTTTTTGAAAGCCAAGTCAACAAACAGATCACCGACCATTTCGAATCCCACCGTACCTTCTCCGCTATGCAATCCGGTTTCCGAGCTGGTCATGGGTGCACTTCAGCCACGCTCAAGGTCCTAAACGATATTATAACCGCGATCGATAATAGACAGTACTGTGCAGCCGTTTTCATTGACCTGGCCAAGGCTTTCGACTCTGTCAACCACCGCATTCTTATTGGCAGACTAAATAGCCTTGGTTTCTCAAATGACTGCCTCGCCTGGTTCACCAACTACTTCTCAGATAGAGTTCAATGTGTCAAATCGGAGGGCCTGTTGTCTGGACCTATGGCAGTCTCTATGGGGGTGCCACAGGGTTCAATTCTTGGGCCGACTCTTTTCTCTGTGTATATCAATGACGTCGCTCTTGCTGCTGGTGACTCTCAGATCCACCTCTACGCAGACGACACCATTTTGTATACATCTGGCCCTTCATTGGACACTGTGTTAACAAACCTCCAAACGAGCTTCAATTCCATACAACACTCCTTCAGTAGCCTCCAACTGCTCTTAAACACTAGTAAAACTAAATGCATGCTCTTCAACCGAACGCTGCTTGCACCCGCCCACCCGACTAGAATCACTACTCTCGACGGGTCTGACCTAGAGTATGTGGACAACTACAAATACCTAGGTGTCTGGTTAGACTGTAAACTCTCCTTCCAGACTCACATTAAGAATCTCCAATCCAAAGTTAAATCTAGAATGGGTTTCCTATTTCGCAACAAAGCCTCCTTCACTCATGCTGCCAAACATGCCCTCGTAAAACTGACTATCCTACCGATCCTTGACTTCGGCGATGTCATTTACAAAATAGCCTCCAACACTCTACTCAGCAAATTGGATGTAGTCTATCACAGTGCCATCCGTTTTGAGTACATATTACCTCAACTACCTCAACTAGCCGGTGCCCCCGCACATTGACTATGCAACGGTACCCCCCTGTATATATAGCCTCCCTACTGTCACTTTATTTTACTGTATATATAGCCTCCCTACTGTCACTTTATTTTACTTCTGCTCTTTTTTTCTCAACACTTTTTTGTTGTTGTTTTATTCTTACTTTTTTGTTTAAAATAAATGCACTGTTGGTTAAGGGCTGTAAGTAAGCATTTCACTGTAATGTCTGCACCTGTTGTATTCGGCGCATGTGACCAATAAAATTTGATTTGATTTGATTTGTCTCCAAAGCCCCATATAATACCCACCACTGTGACCTGTACGCTCTTGTTGGCTGGTCCTCACTACATATTCGTCGCCAAACCCACTGGCTCCAGGCCATCTATAAATCACTGCTAGGCAAATCCCCGCCTTATCTTAGCTCATTGGTCACCATAGCAACACCCACCCGTAGTCTGCGCTCCAGCGGGTATATCTCACTGGTCATCCCCAAAGCCAACACCTCCTTTGGCCGCAATTCCTTCCAGTTCTCTGCTGCCAATGACTGGAACAAATTGCAAAAATCTCTGAAGCTGGAGACACTTATCTCCCTCACTAACTTTAAGCATCAGTTGTCAGAGCACCTTACCGATCACTGCACCTGTACACAGCCCATCTGAAATTAGCCCGCCCAACTACCTCATCCCTATATTGTTATCTATTTTGCTCATTTGTACCCCAGTATCTCTATTTGCACATCATCTCTTGCACATCTATCATTCCAGTGTTAATACTAATTGTAATTATTTTGCACTATAGCCTATTTTATTGCCTACCTCCATAACTTGCTAAATCTGCACACTGTATATTATATGTATTTCTGTTGTATTTTTGACTTTGTTTTGTTTTACCCCATATGTAACTCTGTGTTTGTTTTTATCGCACTGCTATTCTTTATCTTGGCCAGGTCGCAGTTGTAAATGAGAACTTGTTCTCAACTGGTTTACCTGGTTAAATAAAGGTGAAATAAATAAAATAAATAAATAAAAATTATACACAATATTAGGCCCAGCCTTTGGAACTTTGGTTTTCCTAGATATGGCTATTATATTGTGATCACTACATCCAGTGGATTTGGATACTGCTTTCAAACAAATCTCTGCAGCATTAGTAAAGATATGATCAATACATGTTGATGATTTAATTCCTGTACTGTTTGTAACCACCCTGGTAGGTTGACTGATAACCTGAACCAGGTTGCAGGCACTTTCTCTTGAGTGGGCAGCCTGATGAACGCCAGTCAATATTTAAATCACCCAGAAAGTATACCTCTCTATTGATATCACATACATTATCAAGCATTTCACACATGTTATCCAGAGACTGACTGTTAACACTTGGTGGTCTATAGCAGCTTCCCACCAGAATTGGCTTTAGGTGAGGCAAATGAACCTGTAGCCATATTACTTCGACAGTATTTAACATGAGATCCTCTCTAATCTTCACAGGAATGTGGTTCTGAATATAAACAGCCACCATTGGCATTTCTATCTTTTCTGTAAATGTTATAACCATGTATTGCTACCACTGTATCCTCAAAGGTATTATCTAAGTGAGTTTCAGAGATGGTCAGAATATGAATGTCATCTGTTACTAGCAAATTATTGATTTCATGAACCTTGTTTCTTAAGCTACATACAGTGGGGAAAAAATGTATTTAGTCAGCCATCAATTGTGCAAGTTCTCCCACTTAAAAAGATGAGAGAGGCCTGTAATTTTCATCAAAGGTACACGTCAACTATGACAGACAAAATGAGGGAAAAAAATCCAGAAAATGACATTTGTAGGATTTTTAATGAATTTATTTGCAAATTATGGTGGAAAATAAGTATTTGGTCAATAACAAACGTTTCTCAATACTTTCTATCCCTTTGTTGGCAATGACACAGGTCAAACGTTTTCTGTAAGTCTTCACAAGGTTTTCACACACTGTTGCTGGTATTTTGGCCCATTCCTCCATGCAGATCTCCTCTAGAGCAGTGATGTTTTGGGGCTGTCGCTGGGCAACACGGACTTTCAACTCCCTCCAAAGATTTTCTATGTGGTTGAGATCTGGAGACTGGCTAGGCCACTCCAGGACCTTGAAATGCTTCTTACGAAGCCACTCCTTCGTTGCCCGGGCGGTGTGTTTGGGATCATTGTAATGCTGAAAGACCCAGCCACTTTTCATCTTCAATGCCCTTGCTGATGGAAGGAGGTTTTCACTCAAAATCTCACGATACATGGCCCATTCATTCTTTCCTTTACACGGATCAGTCGTCTTGGTCCCTTTGCAGAAAAACAGCCCCAAAGCATGATGTTTCCACCCCCATGCTTCACAGTAGGTATGGTGTTCTTTGGATGCAACTCAACATTCTTTGTCCTCCAAACACGACGAGTTGAATTTTTACCAAAAAGTTCTATTTTGGTTTCATCTGACCATATGACATTCTCCCAATCCTCTTCTGGATCATCCAAATGCACTCTAGCAAACTTCAGACGGGCCTGGACATGTACTGGCTTAAGCAGGGGGACACGTCTGGCACTGCAGGATTTGTGTCCCTGGCGGCGTAGTGTGTTACTGATGGTAGGCTTTGTTACTTTGGTCCCAGCTCTCTGCAGATCATTCACTAGGTCCCCCCGTGTGGTTCTGGGATTTTTGCTCACCGTTCTTGTGATCATTTTGACCCCACGGGGTGAGATCTTGCGTGGAGCCCCAGATCGAGGGAGATTATCAGTGGTCTTGTATGTCTTCCATTTCCTAATAATTGCTCCCACCGTTGATTTCTTCAAACCAAGCTGCTTACCTATTGCAGATTCAGTCTTCCCAGCCTGGTGCAGGTCTACAATTTTGTTTCTGGTGTCCTTTGACAGCTCTTTGGTCTTGGCCATAGTGGAGTTTGGAGTGTGACTGTTTGAGGTTGTGGACAGGTGTCTTTTATACTGATAACAAGTTCAAACAGGTGCCATTAATACAGGTAACGAGTGGAGGACAGAGGAGCCTCTTAAAGAAGAAGTTACAGGTCTGTGAGAGCCAGAAATCTTGCTTGTTTGTAGGTGACCAAATACTTATTTTCCACCATAATTTGCAAATAAATTCATTAAAAATCCTACAATGTGATTTTCTGGATTTTATTTTCTTAATTTGTCTGTCATAGTTGACGTGTACCTATGATGAAAATTACAGGCCTCTCTCATATTTTTAAGTGGGAGAACTTGCACAATTGGTGGCTGACTAAATACTTTTTTTCCCCACTGTATGTTAACGTGGGCAATTTAGAGCACTTTACTTCTGGGATGCTTACTTGTTTTTATTGCTTTACTGGGAAGCTTAGCAGCAGTAGTTGTGCTCATGTTCTTTATGTTAGTGCACGGTGAGCTGCACACAGTGGACTGCCTCCTCAGGCACACCGGCTCAGTGCTAACAGTATAAATCTGGTTCTTAGGCACATGATTACTGCACACAATAGCTGTAGGATCAGTGGTGGCATTCAGGGCAGTTAGAGGGACATAAATTAGGTTACTTATATTGTGACTACCGACGCCCCTGATGTAATGTACATTTGCTGAAGCATTTTGACAACTCTGCGTCACAATGGTAGGGATTAGCTGAGCTGGGCTTGGGTCATTGCTAAGTCATTGTCTCAACGCAACCTAATAATGCTGTGAAAGGATCCAGGAACTCAAATGATTTGGGTGGATCCCATCCTCCTTATAAAACGTGTTTTGTTTCCAAAAGGTATCGAAATTGTCAACAAACGTTACTCCCAGTGAGCTGCAATAATCACGTAGCCAGTTGTGAAGAGCAAGAATCCTGCTAAAGCGTTCAATGCCACGATTCAGAGAGGGCACAGGGCCAGATATGATGGGTTTTTTGTTAGTGTCTAGCAGATCAGCTCTTTAAAATCCAGTTTCAACTGTTCAGAGCTGCCCTTCATAATATCATTAAAACCCACATGGACTACGATAGAATCGATTTCCATGTCCTGACATAGTACATTCGGGTTGGGTTTGAGCTAACTCTTTCTGTGGTGAGGGAGCTGTTGTGAGTCCCAGAAAGCAGGCTGCTGTGTGCCAAGAAAAAGCAGCCACAGAATTTGCACAGTTACCAATGAAGAGAGGAATGTATTCCCTCATGGATAATATCCAGGAAGGAAAAAACCAATTCTCCAATTCCTATAGCTCTCTATCTGCTCACACACTCTGCTCTCTCACTCTCTCTCTCTCACTCTCTCTCTCACACTCTTTCTCTCTCTCTCACTTTCTCTGTCTCTCTTTCTCTCCACCTTGCTCCCCTTTTCTCTCACTCTCTCGCTCTCACTCTCTCTCTCTCTCTCTCTCTCTCCACCTTGCTCCCCTTTTCTCTCTCTCTTTCTTTCCCTCTTACTTTCTGTCTGCTCTGGTCCTCTCCTTTTCAGGCTCAGTGAAAACACAACAAATAGGCCTGGAATGACAGTGCAGAGGAGCACTCAACTCATAGTCATTGTTCAAAAAACTAATTTCACAATACTTTGTATTTGTCTTGTGTGAACTGTACTGTAGCAAATTAACAGCTGCATATTACAACCAATACATCCCCATATAAAACATCCACAGAGGGGACAAGCACAGTAGAGCATATAAGAAAGCAATATTATAATGAAAAACAAAAGGTGTATTTGTGCGTGGCTGTGTGTATGTCAGTGTGTGTGCGTGTCTGTGTGTGTGATGTCAGGAATAGAGCAGTGTGCAGTCAGTACATCCTGTGGTTTGAAAACAGTGATGAAGCAGAGAACACAGCCTTACTTGGGTGGTGCTCAGTACCACTTTCCCCAATATAAAACGTGTTTATATAACAGACAGGCATCCTGTTATGTCATTTATGTAGAATGCTAACAAATACCCTTACTCCCTGCACTTTCTCTTCTTAGGCAACAACACATATCTTTCCTAAGTTTTCTGAATGGGAAGTTTTCTGTTCAGGAAGTGTTCTGCAAGTCCATTGGGGGACAGGTGTAAGGATGGATACAGGCAAGCATTGGTTCCATCAGCCGGTTACTTAAGAGAGCCCTCAGTCACAGGAGGGAGGGGGGGGGGGGGGGGGGCAGGGGGAGAGAGCCCTCAGTCACAGGAGGGAGGGGGAGAGAGGGGAGGGGAAGAGAGCCCTCAGTCACAGGAGGGGAGGGGGAGAGAGCCCTCAGTCACAGGAGGGAGGGGGAGAGAGGGGAGGGGGAGAGAGCCCTCAGTCACAGGAGGGGAGGGGGAGAGAGGGGAGGGGAAGAGAGCCCTCAGTCACAGGAGGGGAGGGGGAGAGAGGGGAGGGGGAGAGAGCCCTCTGTCACAGGAGGGGAGGGGGAGAGAGGGGAGGGGGAGAGAGCCCTCTGTCACAGGAGGGTGAGGGGGAGAGAGGGGAGGGGAAGAGAGCCCTCAGTCACAGGAGGGGAGGGGGAGAGAGCCCTCAGTCACAGGAGGGGAGGGGGAGAGAGGGGAGGGGGAGAGAGCCCCTCTGTCACAGGAGGGGAGGGGGAGAGGAGGGGAGGGGAAGAGAGCCCTCAGTCACAGGAGGGAGGGGAGGGGGAGAGAGCCCTCTGTCACAGGAGGGAGGGGAGGGGGAGAGAGCCCTCTGTCACAGGAGGGGAGGGGGAGAGAGGGGAGGGGAAGAGAGCCCTCAGTCACAGGAGGGGAGGGGGAGAGAGCCCTCTGTCACAGGAGGGAGGGGAGGGGGAGAGAGCCCTCAGTCACAGGAGGGGGAAGGGGGAGGGGGGGGGAGTGGTACATTTCCCAGCCTTTCCCCTAGTCAGAGAAAGGCTTGGAGTCAGTAGTGTTGTGCCTATCTGCTGGCCAGAGGTACAGCCCCAGCCCAGCCGCCTCAGTCTGGCCTTCCTCAACAGTCATGTTCCTTGGCTTATGTCTCAGCCTACCTCCCTCTCCTCCTCTCCTCTCCAGGCCCCACCGCCTTGTCCAGCAGGAAGGAAATAGGTGGTCTCAGTAAATTACACAATGTCCTCGCTCTGAGTCCAGTACACACACTCACATGTACACATGCACACAGGTTTTAACAGGGAAAAGGAACAGTAGTTAACGTTAAAATGTCTAGAGGGCCCACAATGTGCTATTTCTCTCTCCCTCTTTTAACTAGACGTCCTACTGTTTGACTCTAAAAGTAGGAAGAACACAAATGCGTGACCGCACACACACGTGTACGCAGGCATGTACGCACACACACACACACACACACACACACACACTGACAGCTTCCTGCTCTTAAAAGGATTTATTAAGAATGTGTTGACTGAGAATGTGAGGAATGTGATGTGAGGGATTAGTTTACACAATGTGACCAAAGGGAGTCAAAATGAATCATAAAGTTAACAGTTGTGTATGTAGTGGTATTAGAACAAAGTTCAATCGACTAACATTGGTGACTATTCCACAGGATGAACAGAACAGACACTCACTGAGCCTTATAACAGTCTAACAACTGTGTGGCAACTACTGCGTCAAACCTTTCCTGCTCTGCAATGTGCACAGAACGATGTTAACACAGGATGCCCATAATGAAAGTTGTCGCTATAGGGATATTTCAGTGTGACGCATCGTGTTTTCAATTATGAGCTCTGCCACTACAGTCTATAGAAAAGTTTGTGGTCATACGCACATCCTCAAAAACATAGGCTAATAAAGAATACTAGTCAAGAACAAGAAGGCCCGCACACTGTTAAAGCTCCCAACTCATCGCTTTATTGACAACGTTTCGATCCGAAACGGATCTTCGTCAGGTCAAACAGTGTCAATAAAGCAGTGAATTGGGAGCTTTAAAAGTGCCTTCTTGTTCTTTACTCTGCCACTACAGTCTCAACACAGTCCAGTGGAACACAACGTCACAAGTTATACACTGGTGGAACTTTTTACTTTTCTCTTGAAGTTCAGGATCATATGATAGTAATATGCCTACATAGAGCTAGTTATAGTACAGGTGTCGGATCTAACGCTGAACAAAAATATAAACGCAACATTTAAAGTGTTGTCCCATTTTTCATGAGCTGAAATAAAAGATCACAAAACAAATTCCATGTGCACAAAAAGCTTATTTCTCTCAAATGTTGTTCACAAATTTGTTTACATCCCTGTTAGTGAGCATTTCTGCTTTGTCAAGATAATCCATCCACCTGACAGGTGTGGCATATCAAGAAGCCGATTTAAACAGCATGATCATTACACAGGTGTACTTTGTGCTGGGGACAATAAAAGGCCACTCTAAAATGTGCCGTTTTGTCACACAACACACTGCCACAGATGTCTCAAGTTTTGAGGGAGCGTGCAATTGGCATGCTGACTGAAGGAATGTCCACCAGAACAGGTGCCAGAGAATTGAATGTACATTTCTCTACCATAAGCTGCCTCCAACGTCGTTTTAGAGAATTTGGCAGTACGTCCAACCAGCCTCACAACCGCTGACCATGTGTAACCATGCCAACCCAGGACCTCCACATCCGGCTTCTTCACCTGCGATATCGTCTGAGACCAGCCACCCGGACAGCTGATGAAACTGTGGGTTTGCACAACTGAAGAATTTCTGCACAAACTGTCAGAAACCATCTCAGGGAAGCTCATCTGCCTGCTCGTCTTCCTCACCAGGGTCTTGACATGACTGCAGTTCGGCATCGTAACAGACTTCAGTGGGCAAATGCTCACCTTTAATGGTCACTGGCACGCTGGAGAAGTGTACTCTTGACAGATTAATCCCGGTTTCAACTGTACCGGGCAGATGGCGTGTTGTGGGCAAGCGGTTTGCTGATGTCAACGTTGTGAACAGAGTGCCCCATGGTGGCTGTGGGGTTATGGTATGGGCAAGCATAAGCTACTGACAATGAACACAATTGCATTTTATCGATGGCAATTTGAATGCACAGAGATACCGTGACGAGATACTGAGGCCCATTGTCATGCCATTCATCCGCCTCCATCTCATGTTTCAGCATGATCATGCACGGCCCCATGTCGCAAGGATCTGTACACAATTCCTGGAAGCTGAAAATGTCCCAGTTCTTCCATGGCCTGCATACTCACCAGACATGTCACCCATTGAGCATGTTTTGGATGCTCTGAGTTGACGTGTACGACAGCGTGTTCCAGTTTCCGCCAATATCCAGCAACTTCGCAAAGCCATTGAAGAGGAGTGGACAACATTCCACAGGCCACAATCAACATCCTGATCAACTCTATGTGAAGGAGATGAGTCGTGCTGCATGAGGCAAATGGTGGTCATACCAGATACTGACAGGTTTTCTGATCCACACCCCTACCTTTTTTTAAGGTACTGTATCTGAGACAAACAGATGCATATCTGTATTCCCAGTCATGTGAAATCCATAGATTAGGGCTTAATGAATTTATTTAAACTGTAACTCAGTAAAATCTTTGTAATTGTTGCATGTTGTTTTATATTTTTGTTCAGTGTAAATTGATCACTCTTTTGTTGCTGAGAATTTTAAAGGTGAGTGTATTGCACTTTTCATGTAGCCTCATTTTTGCCACCCAATATTATGGACTATTATGCTGAAGGATTATTTTGCTACGACAATACTGGTCAAATTAAGATCCAATATCTGTAGCTCTTTACCTACAGACTTCAGTACAGCGTGTAAAATACTGGACCAGAATGTTTTAATACAATGGCCCGTATTCATAAAACGTCTGAGAAAAAGAGTGCTGATCTAGGATCAGGTGCCTGCTGTCCATATAAACCTATTAATTTAGATCCGAAAGGCAAAACTGATCCTAGATCAGCACTCCTACTCTGAGATGCTTTGTGAATACGGGCCAATGAGCCTATATTTAGGCTGTGGTCAGTAAAGCCCAAGAAGGTTCTGCCACAACCATACAGTACAACATATAGTAGAGTACTGCTCAGAGTCAACTGAAGGAGGATGCATTAGAACTTTGCTAGAGAGCTAGAGATTGGATACAGGATGTTGTTTGTTTACTGCGTGGTTAAGCATGGGTCAGTGTGTTGGGCTGCTAGCTGTAGGCTAGGTGCAGGCTGCAGTAATGAGCCCGGTGGGTGTGTTGTGCCTGGTAGTTGGCTGCAGTAATGAGCCCGGTGGGTGTGTTGTGCCTGGTAGTTGGCTGCAGGCTGCAGTAATGAGCCCAGTGGGTGTGTTGTGCCTGGTAGTTGGCTGCAGGCTGCAGTAATGAGCCCGGTGGGTGTGTTGTGCCTGGTAGTTGGCTGCAGGCTGCAGTAATGAGCAGCTGTTGGGCCTCTGAGAGCAGACACCGTGTGATAGGACCACTGGAGGAGGAACAGGGTTTATGGGGTGTACTGGACGCTGAGGAGAGGGGGTGTGGATGGACCCCCTGGGTAACGGCTGGGTTGGGGTATCTATCTACCACCCTTTTCCTGGCCCTGGCTGTTGTCCCCTCTCTGACTCGCACACGGCTCCAGTTTCCCATCAGCAGCCTTGGTGTCACTGGCCCTCTACCTGCACACAGGTAGTCATTCATTCATACAACAAAGAGTCTTGTCAGGCAAGCAGAAGTGATGATGGTTATCTGGTGATATTCCCTTTCACCAGCACACATCTCAAATAGTATACAGAGATAGTAGACATACGTACATTGTCTAATTGCTAAACTGTAAAATGTTAACTCACAGAAAGATGTAAATATGTTATCTTTGTTTTTTCCCTTTCTTTCAGTGGTCCTTCAGGCCTGTGCACTGGTCCTCTACCCAATCAAGTTCATTGATGGAACCGTCCTGCAGACCTACCATGAGTTCAATTGGGGCTATGGACTGGGCTGGGGGGGCACCATCTTCATGCTAGGGGGAGGCATCCTCTTCTGCCTCCGGACGGACATGTACGAGGATGCTATGTACTGAGTCCTCTCTCTCTCCTACTCTATATCTCTCTCTTGCTCTTTCTGTCACACACACAAACAAACAAATATTGACATTCACTCTCTTGTGCGACAACACACCCACACAATCACAAACACATAAACACACACACTCCTTACTCTGCCCACATAGACAAGCTTCGACACCTACATATAGTATATCTCTGTTATTTATAGACCGGTTGAGAGGGCTCCTGGCTCTGGCTGATCAGCAGGAGAGATGAAGTCGGAGGAGCAGCTGTGTGGAGAGAATGTCTGTCTGTCCCCAGTGGGGTGCCAGAGTAAGCTCCCAGAGACCCCCACCACGGTCAGACAGACAGACCGCCATGTTGTTAAAGCATAGAAATGGTTTTGTACAGACGGGCCACTCGACCGATGAACTTTTCTACAGCACATCCCATGAATCTCCATTCGTAGAGCAAAAAGGAAGTAGATTCTCTGAGCCCTACCCTCTGGGCTGAGGTGTTTATATAAGGGATTGTTACAGTATATGGGCCATCCCACCAATTCAGTGCCTTTTGAGAAGTTTAACTTGGTTAAAAAAATATATACACTACTGGTCAAAAGTTTTAGAACACCTACTCATTCAAGGGTTTTTCTTTATTTTTACTATTTCCTACATTGTAGAATAATAGTGAAGACATCCAAACTATGAAATAACACATGGAATCATGTAGTAAACAAAAAAGCGTTAAACAAATCAAAATATATTTTATATTTGAGATTCTTCAAATAGCCACCCTTTGCCTTGATGACAGCTTTGCATACTCTTGGCATTCTCTCAACCAGCTTCACCTGGAATGCTTTTCCAACAGTCTTGAAGGACTTCCCACATATGCTGAGCACTTGTTGGCTGCTTTCCTTCACTCTGAGGTCCAACTCATCCCAAACCATCTCAATTTGGTTGAGTTTGGGGGATTGTGGAGGCCAGGTCATCTGATGCAGCACTCTCCTTTTTGGTCAAATAGCCCTTACACAGCCTGGAGGTGTGTTGGGTCATTGTCCTGTTTAAAAACAAATGATAGTCCCACTAAGCCCAAACCTGATGGGATGGTATATCGCTGCAGAATGCTGTGGTAGCC